CCCCAAAACCCCAAAACCCCAAAACCCCAAAACCCCTTTATACTTTCCGGTTATTGTTTTAACGCATATTTAATTTCAAAAAAATGAGCGTTAATCGACAAATAAAGGAAGGGCCTACTTTTAACCAAAATGAGGTCCTTTCTTTAAAGAAGAAAATGAGGCATAATGAAGCGGAGTTCGCAAAAGAACGAGCGGTTATGAAGCAGAAGATAGACCTCCTTCAGAACCAAGTCAAGGAACTTATTGAGAGAGAAGCTAACCAGAAGAGAATGTATGAGACTATGCTGACAGCATTGAAGGATCAGGGCGATGAACCAAAGAAAACACAGGATTACTTTGATAAACAGCTTGCTAAGAGTGACCAAGTTAATAAGGAAGGCCTTCAGAGAGTTGAACAGCAATATCTGAAGAAACAGGAAATGCTCCAGAAGGAAAATGCAGAAATTCAGTTAGAGAATGCCAAGCTGAGAGAGAAAAATCTTGAAGCCAAGAACCAGCTTGAGACTAAAACTAAAGAGTGAGATTTAAAGCTTCAGGAAGCCAAGCTCACTGATAAGGAAAAGGATCTCAAGATCAAGTTGGTGGAAGAGGAGAACGAAAAACTTAAAAAGGAAATAGAGCTGTTAAATCAAAAGTTGAAAGACCAAAATGAAATTAACTCAATAAAAACAGCAAGACTTGAAGAGAAGCTCAGGAATAAAGAAGCCTCGGATGCACATAACAGAAGTATTATGATGATTGATCCTATGCCATTGAGTGTCCAATCTATTGATGCTCCTGCAGGCTTTGGTAGGTCAAGGAGTCCTGTTGTTGGTAAAAATTCTCTCTATAAAAGCTTTAAAAAGCAACAAGATATCCTTGTGGATGACCTACAAAATCAGATATCACAAAAGGATGATGCTATCTCTGAACTTTGATATGAAAAAGATGAACTCATTTGAAAAATAGGAGATCTAGAGAATGAAAATGAGTACCTCCAAGAACAAGTAGAGCTTGTTCAAAAAGAGAAAGAGACAAGCATTCAGCTTCTTGAAACTCAGATTAAAAGACAAGAAAATGAATACATGCAACAGATAAATATTCTTGACAGTGAAAAGCAAAACGCAAAGTCAATGTTGTCTCACCTCCAGAATGTTATTAAGTCAAGTGAAGTTCCTGAAGACAATATTGTGAGAAAGTTGAACTTCTCTTCTTGTATGAACAGAAACGAGAATAATCCAAGAGCGTCGAGACATTATGCAATGACCACCAACAACTCTCCACGAAATTGTGCTATTGATTACGAAGAGGTAAATATAGGCAATAATCCTCACGATTTTTCGAATACTAAGAAGAATATAACTGCTTCTAAATGTAGGAGTAGGAATCCTTCTTCTACTGGTTTACAGATAGTTTCAAACTCCATTCCAATAAAGGGATTCAAGAGTGGGCACTTCAGAGAAAGTCATAGAAGTGGTAACATCAGAACTCTCAAGGAACTAGCTAGTGCTAGGAACATGGCTACTCAGATGAGCTATAAGGGGAAGAGCCCAACTGAAGATCTCACATGGCTCAACCACCAACATGACGGATCTAACCTGAATAACAGATGAACTCAGGAATCCAGCCCAACTCACATTCAAGGTAATCCTTACAAGAGAAGCCAGAAATCGAAGAGTCGTTGCTACAACACCTCTGATGGGGGTAACGGAATAAATGTAATCTCTGAGATCTATCCTGGAAGCAAGGGCCACTCAGAAGATGTCAATGGAACATTAATGAACTCTATTGTGAACCTCTTCCCCAATAAATTCAGAAGTAAGAAAGGAAGTGGAGTGTGCCACAATGAAAATGCCAATCCGATTTCTTCCTTCACCAGCTCTCCTCATGCATCTCTTTCTAAACAAGAGCTGAGGGAGAAACTTGAGGTCATCCAGAGAGATAGAGAGGATTCCAAAATTCACCAACTTAGAGACAGTAGTGACTCTAACGAGATTATTTCAGACTCTCCTGAGAGAAGTGCACAACTACCATATGCATCAGGAAATGGGATAGAGATGTTAAAACCAGCAAGCAATACTATTAACAGAAACTCATACATTGAAATGCTAGAGACTGGTGAAATCATGAAGAATATCAACGGAGATCTACTCTGTAAGAGGTGTAATGGAGAATTTACAGTTCAAGAATTTTTAAACAACCAAGATCATTGGAAGATATGCTTAAATAAACCTGCACCAAGAGTCACTCCAAAAGAAGTAAGCCAGGGTCGTCATTCAATGCATGATGAAGAGTACACAGATGATGAACATTCCCAAAATTTTGTTCACTTAAGAGTTGATCCAAATGCTGGTTTCCTCCCTGAGTTATCTGAGGTCAATGGAAGTGTTCTTCTTCACAAGAATCCTCAGAGAGAGTATCAAGAATTCCCATACGCAGAGGAGAGTGAAGAAGAGGATGGAGAGTATGAAGAAGATATTGAAGAAGGAGTTCCATATGATTCAGAGCTTGATAACTATGATCTGTATTCCCAAAAGCAAAGAAATAACCGCTATGCTCGCCCACATGTTATCCTCGAAACTGTTGAGCAAGAGAGTGATGAGTGAAGATCAAGTATCTGTGATAGCTCAAATTACATTTCTAATCCAAACAAGTTGTTTAATAAAGATAGAACAACTGTTTCTAAGGCTCCTTCAATGAGATATCATAGCAACCAGAATGATAAGAATGGTGAAGTTGGAACTTCTTTACAAGTGAAGAACAGGAAGCTAAACCAGTCTCCATATATGGTTGGGATGAAGAAAGAAAGATCTGAGCAAGCTGTCCATTCTTCACTTGATAGTAATAGCTCTAAAGGGTCTAAATCTATTTATTCCAAGGTTTATAAAGAGAATCATCATAAGAAAGAGAACTCAGAAGTATCTGTCAAGTTAGACTCTCAAAGATTTGGCAACCAATCTTCAAGAAGAATGTTTCAAACCAATAGTTTTAAAGAAAAACATGCTGGTTCTCCTCGAGCTTTTAAAGACATTACTCATCAGATGCATACTGAAAATCTTGCTTTTGGAAAAAGAAAGCGGAGTGTTCCTCCTCCAACATATCAAGGTGTTCAGAAGCCAAGAAAGAGAAGACAAAGAGAAACTTTAGAGAATCCTGAAGATTATGATGCTGAAAATAATCCAATAGGATATGCCCAGATAGACCTGATGAATGAGCAAAATCAGGAGTCTGATACAGATAGTCTTCCTTATGATCAACTCAACTCTAAGTTAAGCAGAATCGAGGATGCTGTTAACTTCTTCTATGAGAAAATGAGCGATAACTATGCTCACTGTATCAACGAAGTAGGAACTATCAAGGATTACATTGAATTAAAATCTGAAAAGAAGTCCAATAGCAGAATGAACAGCATCTATAGCAATAGAGGGAGCGCTATGAAAACACCTATTACAGCAAATAAGCTAATGGAGTTCCATATGTCTAGTAAGAAGAAGAATCCATTGGACAGCCATTATGACAATTGCACATCTCAGACAAAGAAATACAGGAATATTAAGAATTCAAGAGATGCTACTCCTGAAATGGAGTACACAAAGCAAGGGAATAGATTCCAACAATTTATCTCTCAAGAAGATTACAACGTGAAGGACTACCAAGTACAAGGGAAGAGGAAAGAGAATAAAAAGAAGGGTCTTTCAAGGAATAATAGTGGGTATGGGCCGAATAAAATCGGTCTTAATAGGTACAATAGCTTAATGAGCCAGAGCACATCATCAATTAACCAGCACCCATCAACCAGGAGTTTTGCATTACACCTATAATTTGCTAATTAAGTAACTCTATATTGTGTAATTGTATGGGGTTTTGGGGTTTTGGGGTTTTGGGGTTTTGGGG